CCTGTTTCTTAAAAAAACTTAAGTAGAAAATCTTACTTAAGTCAAAAAAGACAAAGACTTTTTTGGACTTAAGTTTGACTTAAGTCAGATTTTCTACTTAAGTTTTTTTAAGAAACAGGCCCCAGAGCATTTTTAGTTTTCTTGCTGAGCGTTAAAAGTCACTTCCATTTTTTTTCCGTTCGTAACTAACTACAAACATCGATTGAAGTAACAGAAAACGCAAGCAAGTAAAAATAACAATTGCTAGGGAATTATAAGTGATTGAACATTTATTTCATTGGCTTGAATGTTTTGACCTTTTTTACTGTGAAGCAGTGCGATTCGATTCGTGACCTTCCATTCTTAATTGTATCTCCCACTACACATACTGCCTCTCTTCTAGCGCGACTGTGCTTGTAGCGCTGCTTTATATCTAGAAATATTCGCTGTCTTCAAACATGAATAATAATTCTCTTGAATACGAAATTCTTTATACATATCTGCTTGTCATTGAGAACGAACTAACAGATCATTTTTCACAATAGAGTTCAGATGATGAAAAGGGACTGACTCACTCTCAGAAGCGAAAACGGCCAACAGAAAGATAGATAAGTGAACATAAAAAATGTGATTGAAAATAATAAATGACAAAACTATTAAGGGAATTTTGTTTATTTTATATATTTTTGTAAATTATTTATCTTTCTTATTTATCTATAAGATCAAAGCGATAATTGTTTATCATGTGTATTGTCAGCCATGACTCACGATTTCATAAAGTTGGCTGTCATTACCTCCTGTCCGTTTTTCCAGTGAATGGTTCAAAATAAAAAGTCTTTCATGATATACTCATCTTTTGTTGGAGATAGCATGTTGAAAAAATATAAGGTAATGAACAAAGAATTGATCTGAGTGTTTTCTTTATTCGTTTTATTCTTATTTCTTGATTGTAGCTTCTCCCAAGCAAAAATCGTGTGTTGTGTGATGGACGTTGTATAATTGCTCGTGATGTTAACATATTTATATTTGCATTACTTTTAATTATTGTGACAAGTAGCTTGTTTTTTGCATTTGAGTAATGTGATTAGAAACTGTTGCTCAAGTTATTTATCTTAAAGTTTTTTTCGTTTTTTTAGCTGTCGTTATTTGAGTCTGCGCTTATCGCCTGCTATTCCTGTTATTGGTGGATTATTGTTTATTTTTGTCATCTCTGTTATGTTTCGTGTTGCTTGTTCCGATCCAGGAATTATACCCAGAGCCACGCCAGAGGAAGTTATCTATCTTGAAAAATCAGGTTTACTTCATGGAAAAGTTTTCTATTTCTCTATTTACTAATGTTTTCTTGTTGTTTCAGACATGTCCAATAGTCCTCAAAGTGTCTCCCTGGCAAGTCGAATTGTCGAAGTGCAAGTTAATGGTCAAACTATTCAGCTAAAATTCTGTCAAACGTGTAAAATGTATCGACCACCGAGAACGTCACATTGCTCAATTTGTGACAATTGTGTTGGTATGTAGTATCTGCTATATAATTCGATACAAGATCCCATTTGAACAGTCATTTAAAAAGTCGACGCTTTGCCGAGATATTAAAGAAGTGTATCAGATCCCATCAAAATGGTTATAAGAAAATAGACGTTTGTGGTTGATAGATAGGTTCGAAGTTCGAGAGACTTCACACCAATGTAAGTGTAGTTTCAGAAAATACTTATTAACTGATACTCTTTTAGGAAATCTCGACCAACATTGAGTGAAAGTAGTCTCGCATTATCGTAGCCTACATGTATTTTTCCCGCACTATAATTCGTTTCATGACACGTGACAACGTCTTTTATAACATAAATTAATAATATTAAAAAACCAGTATAGTGTATCATCTTTCTTCATGTGATCTTTCACCATGTAATTGGACGATAAACGTCTTTTGTGGATGATACGATTGTGTAGCATGTTTGATTTTTGCCTATTGTATTTGTTTATTGGCATTATCAAAAAACAATTCTTTGAACGTACAGTTTAGATTTCTAAGGCTTCTGTGAAATCAGATATTATTTCACAGAAAAAAAGCGTAATAGTCGTAACCAGTGTCAAAAACTGTGAAAAAAGTGAAAGAACACCTGTGATTCTTACGCTTCAGTATAAGTCTGCTCGTTATTAACGCGATAATAATTGAAAAACATACTTGCAACTAGTGAGAGACAATAAATTGAGAAAACATGAATGGTAATTTATTTATCTTATTTTTTAGCGTGCTTTGATCATCATTGGTAAGTAAGATGTATAATTCTCTAAGAAGAACTCTTATTCTAATCTATTTTTAGTCCTTGGATAGCGAATTGCATTGGCAAACGAAATTATCGTTATTTTTATTTATTTTTATTATCTTTAGCCATTTTGTGTTTATACATCTTTGCATTCAATGTGACAAATGTTGTTTTACGATCTCAGGAAAAAAACACATTTATCGATGCAATTAAAGACACGCCAGCTACCATGGTCGAAGCCATCATATGCTTTTTTAGTGTTTGGAGTATATTTGGATTATGTGGATATCATTCCTATTTGCTTATGAGAGGAGTAACAACTAATGAAGATGTAAAAATTGTGTAACAAAAAATAAGTATGATTAAATAATTACTCACCTGTTTTTTTCATTTTAGATTAAAGATACATGGAATAGATCCGAACGTTTGAGACCAAATCCGTTTTCATCAGGAAATCCCATTCGTAATTGCTTTAGTTCATTATGTGGTCCAGTCTCTCCGAGGTTTGTGTAGTCCATTTCATGATATTAGTAAAGTTTCAAGTTTTAGTTTTTGTTTAGTTTACTTGACCTACGAGGAACAGTTCGACCAGAAAATCAAACTTCATCAACTCTTGCAACAAACGGTACAACCGTACTTTATAAGCCAAATGATAATGGTTTCTATGGTGCAACAGATAGAAATGAGAATAATACAAACAACAACACAATCGTATGCATCTATTTAATTAAATTTCTTCGTTTAAAAATTTGCCTATTTCTTCTATTCTAGTGGTCTAGTTCAACTAATTACACTGGTATATCGCTTCAGCCTAATCCAAAAGATTTTGTATAAATTTTTTTTCATTTTTTTATTTAAAATCAAAAATCTAATATCAAAAAATGCAAAAAAACTTTGTCAGATGAACAAAAAACTATCTTTTTGTATTTATTTGTTTTATAAGTCTGATTCTCAATTTATCTGACATTTTAAGATCTAATTACTCATTTTATGAACTTCTACTCATGTTCTTATTCCACTCAGCACACTGACACTATACTAAAATGTTGCATGATGATTCAAAGTACTTTCTCTGTTGCTCGAAATTTAGTTTGATGACTCATCATCATTTCATATGCTTCTCCATCTTCTTTCGCTGAAATACTGTAAAGTCTAAAACAGTTGCCCATGATGAAAGAGCTAAGTTTGCATTACAAATTGTCATTCTAAAAGTATTTATACGACCATCAGTCCGAAAGATAATAAAAAGTAAATTTATCGAACGAATTGAGAGGATATCCGTTATTTGTCAAACATTTTTTCTCTCTAAATATTCTTTACATTCCACATTAAATGGTTTAACACGTACATATATCGTTAACAAAGAGATACATCTATACATTACCTTTTTGTATCATTTTTTTTTGTGTTTATCCCTATGAATAATCAAAATATACGCAGAGAATTTTTTTGAATTTGTTTTAATTTGTGCAATGTTTACATCTATTTTCTTCACTAGTTTAATTTATTTAAATATTAATAATCTTTACATTCTATTTTTTCTGCAAAAAACGTTTTTTTGTACGAAAATGTTTTTCTTTTTGTAAATTATCCACGAAGTGTGACGAGATACACAAAAATAAAACGGTCCTTTTCTGTATGCCTTATCTATTTTTGTTTGTTTTTAATCTACAGTCTTTTTGCTTTATTTATTACTTTTTGACTACTTAAATAAATTATTATCGAATTTGTTATTATTTTTCTTTTTTCTCTTCTTTTAACAATAGTATAAAATATTTTTGAAGCGTCCCTTGCAAGATTCTAGTTGAGTATTTTATAGGAGTTTAAAGCAACGCGAACAAGTTATATATAATAGTGTTGATTGTATTTTTTTGTTTCTTCGAGACTTCAACGACAATATATCATTAACAATGTCGAAAACGAAAGATAAACGACAAAAGAAAAGTAAAACAACAACAGCAATGTCCAAAAAGCCAGCGAGTCAACATAGTTTATCGCTAAAAAATCGTTCAACAAAATCTTCGTCAACAATGCGTGATAAATCTACTGTTAAACGTTTGCAAATGTATCGAGGTGGAAAGCCAACGCGGTTAGTAGATATAAAATATGCGCATTACTCTAGGAGAAAAAAAATCAAAAGAGGAGGAGTCTGTCCATCCAGAATTAACATGCGCCAGTCAGAAGTACGCGGAATGGTCTCATTGGATCCTTTCGAAATGAGTCGGACGGGATACGATAGGTTCCAGAAAATTTTTGACGAAACAAGACGTCAAAAAACTTCGTCTCTTGCATCTCTGGCATCCACTACGCGATAACTAAGGAAGACTATACATAAATGAATACCTCTAAGTTTTATCCTACATCAATAACCTGAAGATTTTCATTAACAAGTTAGTTTATTTAGAGATTCGTCTGGAAGAATAACAAAACAAGCTTTATTTCAAGAACGTTTAGCATCGGGAACAAACGCCCGTGTAGCACCAAATCGTCAATGGTTTAACAATAGTCGTGTTGTGACACAATCATCTTTACAAAAATTTCAGTCTGCTTTAAAAAATGTGGTTAATGATCCATATCAAATTGTTATGAAACAAACAAAATTACCCATAACATTACTGAATGAAAAACAAAAACAAAAACGTGTTCATATCCTTGATGTTGAATCGTATGAAAAAACATTTGGTCCAAAAGCACAACGAAAACGAATAAATACATTTGAAGATATGGAATCATTAATGGACCATTGTCAAAAAAGACAAGACGAATATCAGCAGGATAAAGATCAAGATTTGATGAAAGAATCAGATGGTGTAAAAGATGAACCATTGTATCCATTGTTTCGAGCTGGTCAAAGTAAACGAATATGGAAAGAATTATATAAAGTAATTGATTCATCGGATGTTGTTATACAAGTATTGGATGCTCGTAATCCAGAAGGGACACGATGTAAACAAGTTGAAGCATATTTAAAGAAAGATAAAGCGTATAAACATTTGATATTTATATTGAACAAATGTGATTTAGTACCAATATGGGTGACAAGACGATGGATTGCTCTTCTTTCTGCAGAATATCCAACGTTAGCATTTCATGCTAGTATGAGAAAAGCATTCGGTAAAAATGCTCTCATTCAACTATTACGACAATTTGGTAAATTACATGAAGATAAAAAACAAATATCCGTAGGTTTTATTGGTTATCCAAATGTTGGAAAATCATCTGTGATAAATACATTACGTTCAAAGAAAGTATGCAATGTTGCTCCTATCGCCGGTGAAACAAAAGTATGGCAATATATAACATTAATGAAACGTATTTATTTGATTGATTGTCCAGGAATTGTCTATCCATCATCAAATGATAGTGAAACAGAGATTGTTCTTAAAGGTGTTGTTCGAGTTGAAAATGTTCCACAACCACAACAATATATAGCCGAATTATTAAATCGCGTACAAAAACAATATTTATTAAATACATATCGTATCGCAGATTTTGCAAATGATGAAGATTTTTTAGAAAAATTAGCACGAAAAAGTGGAAAATTATTAAGAGGTGGAGAACCCGATATTCAAACGGTATCTAAAATGGTATTAAATGATTTTCAACGTGGTCGTCTACCACATTTTGTTAAGCCACCTGGAGACGATGAAAAAATTGATGTACCAAAAACTGATACTACGAACAATGATAACATAATAGTTCAACAAGATTTTTCAGATTTAGAAGTCAGTGTAAAAACAGCAGAGGATGAAATAATTGATATTGACTTGACTGGCGACATAGCTCAATCCGATGCAGTATCATTAAACGATGACGATGACATTGTACAAGAAAAAGAAGAACGGGAAAGTGTACCATTATCATCAAAAGAACAAGATAGTGTACCATTATCATCAAAAGAACGTCGTCGTATACAGAATTTATCTAAACGTAAAAAAATGGGTTCTGATTTTTATTCTACTCATGATGCTAAAAATCGACAAGGAAAGAAACAGAAATCAACTGGTAATCATAATTATCCAATGCAGAAAAAGTTAAAAAAATCTTAAAACAACTTGTTTTTTCTGTTAGTATTATTTTTGTTTAACAGAGAATAAAATGAACTTCTAATATGGTTTGTCAGATGAAAAACAAATGAGAGTAAAATCCATCTGTTTTAACGGATTTGACGTTGTTACCCAAATTTATGAGAAAATAAGGTGAATTTATTAAAGTTATGCATGTTGTTCTAGAAATTTTGCTGTGATATCAATCTCTGGTCGAGTAGATAACAGTGGCGTTAGTTAAAATCATCGTGACCTGCGTACAGAATACTATCGTGTAGTCAGGATGTCTGTGAGGTCTTGGTGAAAAATGTCGAAAAGAAGAAGATTCCTTTCTGTTCCTTGGAAATCACTGAAAGAGATATACGTATTTTTATCATTAGAACTATTATTAGTTCTCGTCAGACTAGTATGCCTTCCCCAACTCGTGGCAATTATAGTCACTCATTGAAAAAGTAAAGTATGATGAAGTTCAGTATGCCTGCAACGATGAACGCCTCACCTCACCCACACGCTTAACGCATCACTATTCAACTCGGTGCAGGGGCATTGGCTCCAAAGCAATCAGGAAATACAGCAGCTTTTCAACAATGATTTGACTCTCTCAATGGATGATTTCTGAATAGAGAAATCAATGCAGAACAGCCACTGGTTGGATTATCGTTGCTGATCAGGATAAATGAAAAATTAGATCACGATCTATTCGCTTTATCAGAGACCGAAACGGGTCAAGCAAGCGTGACCCGTTACTGAACGGATCCGAAAATTTTGCAACTGTGATCCGAACTAGATCCGAAATATGAAAATGTTTTCGTACGCATTCGCAAAGAAGCACTTCTTTCCTATAGAAGAGTTATCGTAGTCAGATTGTTTTGAAATTTTTTCAAACAACTGGTCATATTCCTTACGGTTTCCGTCATTTTTTCCTTTTATGAGTGGAAAAGTTTGGGTAATTCAGACAGTTTATTTTATATTGACCTGAGTTAGATCGAAACGGGTCAACCAAACGCGACCTGAACCCGACCAGAACCGAACGTGAGTTGACCCGACCCGACCCGAATTAATAACTTTTACGTTGGCCCGAACCAGACCCAACCGGTTTCGGTCTCTGGGCCTTATTCCTCTTCGACTCTCTTTCTCTATGTGATTTAATAAAATATCTCTTCCAGTTATTTTCTAGAAACAGAAAGTAATCTTCTCCTTTTCGACGTTTTCCATCAACCCCGTCTGTAATCAGTAATGATCGAGAAATGTTCACGATCACACTATTACGAAATGGCTCAGAAAATCTTGTTAAACAACTTTAATTTTTCGGATCTTTGAAGCCCGATTTTTGAACTCCGCCTTAGAAACTGGAATTGGGCCAAAGCGAACTTCATATTTGTAAACAGCACCATCGATCACGTGCAACATGAACACGATATAATTAATTAAAATTAGAAATGATAAAACATAATCATACGCACAAGACTAATTTGATGTAAAAATACTTGCAACTATGAGTAAGAAGAGAAAAATGATAATTTGTCTAATTTACTTTTAATCAGAAACTTTTATATTTTTTTATTTTCAGTTACAAATGAACCGTTCTCATTTGTTATCAAAAGTAGAATAGAGAGAAATGACACGATTGAAGATGTGACAAAACAAGTTTTTTATTATATTTTCAAGTGATATGAGTTTTTTATTCTACATTATTAAACAATGTTTTGTAACACAATCGAAGGAAGAGAAGCAATAACATCAATTAAACTGAAAAAAACATTATAATTAATAATTTGTCTGTAATATTTTTTAAAGAATAGTTAGACACCGGTTCTTTGACTTGTTTGTCTATTATGCCTGTCAATTCTATTGTTGTTATGTATATTACATATTTGAGTATCTCTCTTATTTCTATATTAATAATCTTTTTATGTGAGATGAAGATGTTTAGTTCGTTATTCTAAAAATATGAATTTTATCTAGTAAAAAAAAAATCTAATTCTAATTCAAGTTCAAATGATATTTGATGCTTAATTTCTTTATGAATTATACTTATATACTCTTGAGTATTAATAAATTTTAAAGATGAAACTTAAAAAAGAAATAACATCTCCGATAATTAATTAATTTTAATGTGTTATTTGAAACACGTTATTGTATTTATATCTAAATTTTAATTTAGATGAAAATAAAACTAAAAATGAAAAAATGATGATATATTGCGTACAATTAAGAAAAAAATAATTATCTCTTTTGTTTATCTACTATCGATAGAATTTACCTAAAGTAAGGTGTTAGCTTTTTCTATTCTTTATTTTCTCTCTTTTTCTTTCGTAAAAGATCATTGTTTATATCATAAATTGTTAATTATCATTCTTACTCAGATGAGTCATTCATATTAAAAATAATAATGTTACATTTCAATCGTCTTTTTAGTAATCTCATGTTGTCTAACAAACGAATAAATGTAACCCCTTGGGTGATCTAAATCATATACGCCATTCTTTTTTGTATGATATTATTGATGAATTAATGAAAAATAATATTTGTGACAGTGTTAGTAATAATATATTACCTGCATTGTTATCTTTATTATATCGAGATGAATTAGTATTTAACAGTGAAAAAGACATGCATAATAATTATAATTTAAAAGATATTTTAAAATATACGATCCATAACTATTGAACAAAAAAGTACAATAATGATTAATTGATTTTTAAAAAGAGATAAGATTTTTTTGTTTTTTTAAGAAAATTTTATCGTATTGAATAATGAGAAATAAATAAAAGTTTATTTCTGAATTAATTTTTAATGTTTCTGTTCGGTTTTAATTGTAAAAGTGGTTTTTCGGAATCGGTTGATATATATGAAGAATCGATCGTTGAAGTATTAGAATATGATTTTGTGCATTCACATTGACATGAGTGACATGAACATGAACTTTCAATATTATTTTCATCTTCAAATAATGATTGTGATTCAGATATCATTATTGACGATTTTTTCTTTACATTATCATCACATTGATGGTGTATTTTTTTCATACCAGGTAATAAAATCATTCGTGGTATTGTTTTATTTTCTTGTTCATTATTATATTTTTTTTTAGTCTTTTCTTCACCACTTTTATCGACTATTTTATGATCAACTGTTTTCATCAACAGTTCAAATGGTTTTTCTTGTTGTTGTTGATGATCTTTGTATGAAGTAGCAAGAGGGGAAAGAATTTTTGTTAGTGGTGTTGTCATTATAGTCCGCTTACGAACTTCTTCTTCAAATTTTTTCAAAATACATGAAAGAGATACACGTTCATTTCCTTCGATATTCGTTTTTATCATTTTATTTTCTTTGGTTAAGTTACTGGCAAGATGTAGTTCATCTCTAATGTCGGATATTGTTATATCAAATCCGTGCATGGTTTTTTTATTAATTGTTGGTGTAGAACATATCTGTTCGGTGGATACTGCTGCCGTATTGTTATTATTACCATTTCGATCATCTAAAACTGAATAGAATGGATAAATCTATTTTTATCTCAAATCTAGTTTTTCAAATGTTAAGTATTTTATTCAAATTTATATCTTAAAAACAGCGATTTTGGGTATGAAACTGTTACTGTTGTGGTTTTCGAAATTTTCCTGTTTTTCCTATATTTTGACGCTTTTCTGCAGTTTTACTGTTTACGGTGGTAAAATCTGTTAGAAAGTCTCTGCCTCTTACGTAAATCTAATCAGTCAGTTAGAAAAATATTTTTACTTTATTCAGTCAACAAAGAGAAGAAAAGACTAACAGAAATGACGTTTATACTAAAGATTAGAATAAAGACTGACTGTATAAATTCTACACACTCATATCAAAATACTAAATAAAAGAAGTAAAAAGAATGAAAGAGAAAGAAGAAATGAAGAGTAATGAAAAAGTAAAATAAAGTATGATGTTGTTGTACGTATAGAAAAAGAGAAAGATGAAAGAAAACAACGATAATAATACTGGTCGGAGATATAAGCTTGATTATCTATGACTATGTTTAAATACCGTATAATATCTTTTAAATAATAATTAAATTTTTCAAATTAAGGTCAAGTGAATTTTTTAGTTTATATCTAAGAATACATTATTCAACACATTGTATTAAATTTCACTTGTCATTTTTCTGCATTCTTTTATTTCTTGTATTTCTGAAAGAGATTATTGACTTTCCTGTTTTCCGAAGAGAAAAAATCCCTCTTTTTTGAACGTCAATAGTACGAACCCTGAAAATTTGATATCATACCTCGATGTATTTTATACATCTCCATTTTTCTATCAAAAATTAAATTCTCACTATTTTCAAATGAATGAAGATCAGATCTTTTATCTTCAAATAAATTTGTTGAATGTGTCTTGAATGTTGTAGGAGCGTTTGAATTTTGTACTAATTCAAAAAATTTTTTTGCTTCTTGCTGTTGTTTTTTACTCAATGATGGTGACGATAATGATAGTGTCGATGTTTTTTGTGATGGTGATAATAATAATAGACGTCTGGTAGGTTGACATTTTAGATACATGAAGGCAAGGAATAACGCAATTAAAAGAAAAAATGATAAAATCACTAATAAAATGACGGTTAACCAATAAAACCAGAATTTTTTATCCGTTGATAATCGTCGTTCATGTATTCTAGTTGAGAAAATAAAAATATGTCTCACTAGCAAAGATCACGAATTAATTAAGACCTTTGTGCGTAAATGACAATGGTGCTAGGTGTAATCGATAGTGCGGATTATGAATCGGACATTCGTAGCAGTTCATGAATAGTTTTTAAGAAAATTTTTAAAATCTGATTGGTGAAAAGTTAAAATGTTAAAAACCAAAATTTCTTTGAGATTGAAAGTTTATGAAGTATATTCAATTTCCAATGATCATAAATTTATTTGGATATAGATTTAGTCTTCTTCATAAAGTGAACATTTTGTTAATCCTAGTAAACTTAGAGATGGTTTTTTTTTGCTATCAAGCAACACGTGCAAAACCTTTTAATGTTGTTTATAAGCTCAGAACAATAAACAGAACATATGAAATTTAATATATTATACAAAATGGCCATATCAGAAAAATTTCTTAGCGATGGCATTTTCAAAAATTCTGTATCATCGATTACACACAGTAGCGTGTTATTTACACAAAAATCTTTTTATCAATTGACGACTTTCCTAGTCTAAGTATGATACGCTCTCGATACCACTATTTATTAAGTAGCGAAATTGAAAACTAAAAATCTAAATGCCACGTTTTATTGACATTGATGAAAAACTACGTACTGTGATGAGCACCAACATTCGAGTGCCTTTTGATGATGTAAATCGAGCATGTCAATTTTTTGTATTTGATTTATCATATAATCAATAGTCGAATCATTCTTGTAATAATTATATATTGTACTGTCATCACATTTATAATTATTGGTAATTTTGAATCGATCTCGAGTACAGACACCGTTGATTCCAATGATTAATGAAATGGGATTAGTTTTTTCTGATGGTTGAAATTTGAGGAAATTAGCATGAGGATGTAGTACCCATATCTTTGATGATTTTTGTTGTTTATTTTCTTCATTATTTGCCAACAATTTACTCACCTCGCTATCAATGTTACTTAACATCGTTTCTGTTTGTTTCTGTTTTTCATTACTCTTATCTTCCCTAAGATACAAACAATGGAAAACTAGAGACACTTTTGGTTTTTTGTATAGAGATCGTCTAATCACACCTTTTTTGCAATGGTATGAACCAATAGTTAACCATGCCATTTTCTTTTGCAATCAAATCTTTATCATTTTTATTATTATTATTGTTATAGGAAATTTTTCTCGTATAAATCATCATTATATGATGAAATAATATAAAAATACTGATGAATATCATCAGCCTCAGTAATTCACTCTCTCACAATAAAACTACTTTTTCGAAAATCTTTATTTTTTAAAAAAACACAAGAAAAACATAAACAAAAAATTTCAGAATAGAATAGAATAAAGTTTCTCATATACGATACTGAGCTACATGATATTTATAGATTTATAGATTAAGTTAGAGAGAACAACTTGGCAACACTGTATATATAAATATATACACAAGCAAAGTAAGTTATTGTTGGACAGATAAGGTAGAAAGACTCTGTTATCGATATTTTTATATGTGTGTTGTTATTGTTTTAAAGACATCAGTCAAAAAAAACATTTTAAATTAATTTGAGGATACCTCGTCCCCTTCCAACTTTTTCCATGTTTGTTATGTTCTGAAAAACAATAGGAATACATTATAATTCCTTTCAAAAATTTCATCTGATCGAACCCGAAATTTTATCCCAGATGCTTAGGACGATATCTGAGAATAGGCATTTCTTTTTTTCGTTTTAATTTTTCCTTCTTGAAATGCTAGAAAAATGGTAAAAGCACTATGTGAAATCTAGGACTTTGCTTTTAAAAATCTTCTAAGCCAACAAGAACATATAAAAAACCATTTTCGCAAAAAATCGTTGAAGAATTTTGAAAGATATTTCATTGTGAAGGGAAGACTTTTGCACTATTAAAACATGTCCTACAGTCCTTTGGTGTCAAATTCTCGTTTGTAACAAAACTAAAGATGATCATTGTATTTCATTCATAGGAATTTATAGAGCTTAGAAAACTGAATCTTTTGTACCTAAGTGATTATTTTTATGGCTATGCGTGATAGAAACATGATGTAAAAACAAAAAAAAAAACAGAAAATTAAACACGGTGCCAGATTTTCCATGTTAAAGAACATCGAAACATCGATATTAAATATGCAAACAATCCTTTATATGTGTGATTTTGGAAAATGAAGGAGAGAAGGAGTATTATGTTGTTGCTAAACACTTTGTTATAGCAAAACATATAGTTGTTGGTGGTATTACAACAACTAGGTTGCTGTTGCGTGGTATTCACAAGATCAATTGAGCAACGGAAAATGGATAATATTATCTATAAACGAATTAACATTCTCTCTTCTGTAGCAAAATTCTTTTATAAAATTTGTCACTGAGCACTTTATTTTTAAGTGCTGTTATTCTATTTGTGGAAAATATTATTATGTCAGTTGATCAATTGAAAAACTCGTTTGTAAAACAGACTACTTTTCAGATGATAGTAATATTTTTTGATGAAGTTTACTATTTCGAAAGTTTTAAAGAAAGCATAACGATGTATTCTAACCGAATCATATCATTAAATACTAGACAAAATTCTACGTCTTTTCAGCCTAGAACAAAGTTTTAAAAGTTATTCTACAAGGTTGAAAAAATCAAAATTTTCCACTCTGAATTAGATGTCAAAGGATCGTAAAAAATTGAAAATTTGTACTCTTTTGTAAAAAAATCAGAAAAGTCATAACTTTTGATCAAAAGAACGTGGAATGTTGGAAGTGGTCATATTTTGTAGCCTAGAATTTTTTTAAATTAGGCTGTGTTCAACTAAAAATAGAAAATTTTTTTTGAGTAAGTAGGACTATACTTTTAATGAATTTCCTACAGAGGTAAATCTTTATTCTGAAACTTAAACTCATTTTCTAGCTTCACGATACACAGAGTATATCATAGTGAGTCCAGTGTGCGAAATGTAAGATTTTTGTAAATATATGAATCATCCTCTTTACATAAAAAAAAAAATTATTAAAAATTATTTCAGGTAAGTAATGGACTGAGATCATGTGTATTATTTAGAAACTATGCTGCATAAAGTTTATGTAATAAATGTAACTCATGAACGAGTATAATATAATTTTATCAATAAAGTGAAAACTATTCTATTCATTAGTCTTGGTTCGAAAGAATCTATTACTACTCACTTGGTTAAATAATTTAATTCATAACTACCTTATTAATAATCATTGTTAAAAAGATTAAATATATTACTAATTTTTTGTTTTTCGTTTTAATTTAATGATGAGATAAGGATTCTATGAAACTGTAATGCAAAAAAAACATCAATACTAATATTATATTTCATTTACCCAAAGCTAAAAATCTATACAGAATTTCATGTCTAAGAAATTTATTTTATGTAATAACTGTTATTTTTAACATTATTCTAACATGTCATGCATTATAAAAGAATGAAAAGAAAATATTCTAACATAATGTAAATGTGTGTGTGTGTGTGCTCCTATTTTATGCGGTAGCCATTATCTGAAAAGCCTAAGAAAAAAAAGTAATTATTTTTAAAAAACCTATCAGGTTTGATTGACTTAATCCAACTAAAGAGAAATGATCTTTGCTGATTATTGTTTCTCTCTATGGATAAGTAAACGTATTATATTGTTCTAGAAAAAATACTTAATAGAATAATAAGGAGAATCTTCTTATAAAAACTCAAGCAAAAATATATTTTTTCTATGCTATATTTATCATTTTATATCTTCATTTGCGTTTTATTTTTCATTAAATATTTCTATTGTCGTTATCGTAGGATTTTTTTTAGATGTGTCTTATTCTACTGTAAAATGGCAATGAAGCATTATCCCTATTTTAAACAGACAATATTTGATGAATATTTTGGAGATAATGATGTATTTGACGATTTTATCATCAAAGGTAAATTTTGCGTAGTGATTTATTGATTTATACAGTACAAATTAAACTCAATGAGATTTTGTATGTTAAAAAATAGATTTTAAGATGTTTAAAATGTAGTCTTAGTTTAAAACATGTAAAATATGGTAATTGAACAGCATTCTTGAATAATAAAACTATTATAACTGCTTTAATGTATAAGTTATTGATACGTGTTGATTTATTGAAAAGAAAATCAAAGAGCGGATAACATTACTGTTTTTAAGATAGATATTTTTCACTTGTTAATAAATAAATACTTTTTTGTCGAAAATGTAAGCCTTCTAAAACGAAATTTTGAAAAGAAAATTCAAAAAAGACAGTACATACATTCACCTGTGCCTTTATGTACTTTTAATGCAAAAACATGGTGAGGAATCTAACACTATGAACAGAATATCTAATAAATAGACCTCTTTTACATGAGCTATTAACAATATCTTTCGTCTCATTTCGATTGAGTAAAAGAGCGAAAGAGAGAAAGAGGCAATTACTTTGGGTTAACTATTGAAATTAGACATAGAATGGCTGAAACTAAATTCAGTCTTCCAAGATCCGAAACATCGATGATAACTGCAATGCTCTCAACTATTAACGAAAATGATGAGGATAATAACAATAATAACAAAGGTAAGAAGGCTTTGCATTTTAGAAACGAATACTTTACTGCTGAGGGCGGCTGATAATGTGATTTCAGCGTACTCGTCATTCCCAAAACTGTACTGGGACGAAATCTTGAGAGATTCGAGCCTCCGTAAAACTCAAGCCTAGAAAACTAACTCTCTGGATTGTGGTAAACCTTTTGCAAACAACTTTGTGCTTTAGACCAAGTATTTCTGGACATAACGAGACGCCTTCGAGCTTTTCACGACATTTTTTTATCAAATTATTCAGTTTACGAACGGTCCATGCCTGCCAAAACGAACAACATTGATCGAAAAACAGTAAAAAATATCTCTAGAGCCTTTCTGAAATTGAATGGAACGTGATGAAAAAATATCGTGAAAAGCTCGAATAGTAATTTTTTATAAAAAGTTTCCAATCAAATCAAGAGAGTTCATTTTCTAGTTTGTTCACCAGTTAGGATCCTGGTTAAGTAATCAATCTTACTAGGGACCTTTTCCAACTGTTTAATCGCTTTCTGGTCGAAACCTAGTGTGTTATAAGTTATCGACCGCGCTGATTCCGAACATCCATATGACACGGGCCGCTAGACCTTCGTAGAGCAGTTTTCCAGTGGAGTTGGGGGAAAAGCGCAAAGGGCCGAAAAATTTTTTTTTAAATAAGACTAAGTTGGGCCAGCAGATATTTGTATAATTTAGTAGAGTGA